ACACACACACACACACACACACACACACACACACACACACACACACACACACACACACACACACACACACACAAGACTGTAACTACACGTTACTGTGTTCTGCTGATAAGACAGTGAACATTTGGGTGGACACTGTGAGCACAGAGAAGGTGTCAGAGGTGGGAGAAGGGCGTGCTGAGAGGAGAGTTCAGGCTGAAACTCTGAGGAACCAAGCAGAGGCAGCCTGTGACTGTCCCAGCCAAGGCCACGTTAAAAAAAAAAACAGAGGAGAATAAAAGATGGACAGATGGTTAAAGAGTGACGGTGAATGCTGGTGGGAGAGAGAGCAGCTAAAGGAGGTTAAAAATGAGGAGAATGTTGGGGGGGGGGTCTGGGCTGGAGAGGGGCTGAGAGTAAGTACGGAGGGAGGCAGAGTCCAAAATCAACAAGACTGTGGTCTCTGTGGGCAGGCAGCTCATTTCCCGTAGCTCCACAAAGTGCTCGATATTTAGATTTAATGCGTGACCCACTTCAGTGTGTGTGTGTGCTTGTATTTGTTACCTTCTTAGGACCATTTTTCGTATAAACACCTACTTGTCAAGACCAGTAGTCCTTATGAGGACCAAAGACTGGTTCTGATATGATGGAACTCCATTTTTGGGTTGGGGTTTAGGACTGAGGTGTGAATTGAGCTTAGATCAGGTTTAGGGTCAGGTCCTAATAGGGATAGAAATACAAGCTTGTGTGTGTGTAGCCTCTCACCTGTAGGTGCTGCAGAGACGATGACCCGGACACAGCGTGATGTAGGGCTTGTGCACCGGCTGGACGTACGTCTCCGTTGTGGTGACAACGTTGTGGCGGAGGCTCTGGCCGCACACCCTCCTCCTGCAAACACACGAGCAGAGATCAAAGCTCACATTAAAGGATCCATGATTACTTGTAACGTTAAGACTTTATTTATTTTTTAACTGTAAAATAAAGTCTGTAAAAATACTGTAGGCTGTTTAGTTTTTATAATTTTTAAACTAAAAGTTTAAAAATATATTACACAGATAGGGCCATTTTATTTACACGCAAAGCATTCTGGGTAAATAAAAACATCAACTAGGTCCTCAGTGCGAGGCTGCTAGCGAGCTATATCCACCCTGAAGGTTAATCTTGGACAATATCTGATGATCGACTCTTTTAAATGAAACCAGAGAGCGTTGACAGAGAGGAGAAGGTAGAAATGACTCAGCCTGKAACTGAAAATATGGATGGAGGACCTCAGTTTAGCTTKTTTGTCGCRCTAGCGCCAAGCTAATACATATAAGGCAATATAGCATTGGCGCTGAAGCTAAAGCTAACAGGCTAAGCTGAGGTTCTTCTTCCATGAAGCAGCTCTGTTGTCCTCCATCCATATTTTCAGTTACAGGCTGAGTCATTTCTACCTTCTCCTCTCTGTCAACGCTCTCTGGTTTCATTTAAAAGAGTCGATCATCAGATATTGTCCAAGATTAACCTTCAGGGTGTGTAAGAAATACGTGTTTTAATATAGGCTGAAATCAGATGAAAACACAAGTGTTAAATAAGATGACCTGCGATAGGAAATAAAGTCATACAACCCAGAATTCTGGAGTGAGTGAGGTTTATTTTGCCACCGGCTGACAAGTCAAAATCACACTGAATGAAAAACAGGAAGTTCCCGTTTAAATACAGTACACGATTCTTCGATGCCTGAGTTCGCCCTCTGCTGACCTACGGCTGAATCACAGGCATTCAGCCAAAGACCTCACCCTGATGTTAACACAGCTTTCAATTATGTGTTGTATTTGAATTTGGACATGTAGCTATTATTTCAATTAACACATAATAGATCAAACATTATAAAAGTATTATAAAATAAGGAAACCCTAATAATCTGGTGTTGTTTATAATATCAGTACTAATCTATAATAACTATAAATTTCTTCAATGGATATGGCTAGCTCACACCGAGGACCTATCCATGTCATCATTTACCCAGAATGCTTTGTGTGTAAATAAAATGGCCCTGTCCATCTTAAAATATATTTTTAAAAATTATAAAAACTAAACAGTATATTTACAGTCTTTATTTTACAGCTAAAATAAATGTTTATCAAATAAAGTCTAATGTTAGAACTAATCGTGGATACTTTTAAAACCTAAAAACAACAACAAAGCTCTCTGTCTAAAGTTTGAGATGTGTAAGCCCCCACGTCTCCTGAAAATCTCTCCCAAACACGTCGCAGGTAAGAGCTGACCTTTGACCTTTCATTCGTTTTAATTAAAAAGATAATGACAAGCTGGGCGTTATCTAATGCGGCGGCTCTATAAGTTGGGGTCAGGACCCCGCTGTGGGTCTTGAAACAAGCGAGGCCACTAGATGAGCTCCAGAAACTAAATGAAATGGAACAAATGCTATTTACATTAATATTGTTACTAAATTAAACTCAATAGTCATAAATTATTTTTAAAAAGCAGTATATATTTTAGCGAAGTGTGCTGACAAATGTTCAGAACCCTTATCCTGTTGCTTTGAAGATGAAAAGTTTGTGAATGGTGTTTCTGACGGCCTCATCCTCCCTGACAGGATGAACTTTTGACGACACGAAGCTCTGAATGATGGCTGAAGGGGGCATGTGAACGCAGACTGGGACAGACTGGCAGGTCGTAATAAAGACAGGAAGAGGATGAAGTCAAGCTGTTACCCGTTCGGAGCAAATAACTGAGGAGTGGCCATCGCATGAAGGATGAAGAGGGAGGAGGAGAGGAGCAGCGTTCGGTACATCGTCTCTTCCTCTTTCCCACGTTCCCTTCGCTCTCACACTCTTCTGTGTGCCAGTCAGAGGGGAGGAGGGGGGAGGCGTGGGCTCGGTCTCCTCACGCTGTGTGCGTTCTCCTTTCAGGAGGATGACCACGGCTACCTGCAACACAAGGAAATGTATTTAAAAGAGGCTTTTAGTGGTTTTTCTTTTCTTTTCTTCGTTCCTCTGAAACCGTAGACCCAGACCTGACTGGACTCTGGGTCCAGAGACCAGTCTGAGGACAGTTAGCATGAAGCAAAAAAAAATCTGCAGCCTTCAAATGATCAATTCACAAATCAAAGTTTGATTGCAGGTGGGTCCAGGAGGAGCAAGTTTGTGTTAAATGGACCAGCTGGAGATCTACGGAAGGCCAGAGGTGCCAAAAAAACAAACAATAAAAACAAAGAAAAAAATACAAGCATTTAAATTAAAAGAAAACAATCAATCAGCCATATTAGACAAAATAATTAAGAATAAAATTAAAATCTACATAATTACCAACATTTTTGAGTAATATAGCAAGCAGTAAAATCCACCAAATTAAAAGAAATACCTGAACAAATATTCCTGCTTTGCCTCATGGTTGGGAGTTGAAAGCATATGGAAGCTACCATGTTGCATTTTTGGAACCAGAGTCTGTGCACTCAGAATATGAAGCTTTAAGCCCCGCCTACTACAATCATGATGTCACACAAACTTTCTCTTAAGCATGAAAAAAATGAAATACACATAATAGTATTTCCAAAATTAATATTTGTACATGCAGCTGCAAGGTAAGGACTGGGATCAATGAGAATCGACACCTGAAAAAAATATTTGTGTTGGATTTTATTTTTAAAATGGAAACATCCCATCAGTTTATACAGAGAGGGCGGGGCTTAAAGCTCACACAGAGCTCCAACTTCAACTTCCTTGTCTTTAAATAGTGTCCAGGATTTCCTTATGGTAAAAACACAAAACTAAACCACTGCAAAGCTAAATAATAGTTTTTGAGTTCCTTTTTGTGTTTTTCTTTTAAATCTAAAAAGTAAACTTTCTTTATTTTGTGGGCTTTTTTATTTGTTTTATTGCTACATCCTTTTAAGTGACTATAATCATCAATTACCTTTAATATTTTAATAGCTTTTTTTTCCCCATGAACTGATTTCAAGTCGTAAAAGTTTTTTTATCGTTTGATGTGCAGCAGAATTGATCAGGTTTCTGTATCTTCTGAGGTGAACACAGAACAAACAGATAAATTGTTTTAGCCGGATTTGTTTCCAACAATTCTCCAACGTGTCTTAAGAAGTGGTTGTGAAACCAGGCTGAAAACTAACTGTCCTGCACTGGAAAAACAAACAAACAAAACAAAACAGAGCAGATAAAAAGTGATAAAGACCTCATTAGATCTTCATGGGGTAAAAGAAAAGCTGTTTGCAGCAGTTTTAATCTCTGACAGCAGATTAAAGGTGTGATGACAGCTTACAGGACTACAGAGACTGCTTCGTCCACACTGAAGAACCAAGCTCCAACCTGTGACCCACTGACTGGTCTCCGGTGTAGTTCCTGCTTTGGCCGCAGGGTGGCGCTGTTTTCACAGGTCACAACATCCGCTCCTTCTCTGGAGCTCTCACGCGCACAAACTCACACGGTGGAAGGATGCTGAAGGCTTCTAAAACGAGCGAGCACGGCTGACGGACACGCGCAACACATCAAAGACAAGCTTAACCTCCCAGAGCGCGTGCACAGACACAGAAACACTAACCACAAAGATTCCGAACCCTTTTATCCGGTTAAAGCACCGTCCTGAAACCCCCCGCGGCTCTGCTCCGCTCCGGTCCGGTCCGGTTCTGCTCCTGGCGGGTAAAAGTCCAGAGAGAGAGTCTCTCCTGGAGCTCAGACTGTCAGAGAGGGAGCATGGGGGGGTGATGGAAGGACCTCCTCCCGCTCCTCCAGCTGGGTGTCCCGCAGCTCAGACTGCCTGAACCCGCCTGTGACGTCACGGACCGAGTCCTGGTCCTGGTCCAGAAATCCCTCCTTTTCTTCATAGGAAGTGATTTTTTTTTTTAAAGCATTTAACCTGATACTTCACTGATTCAAACAGAATAGCTGCACTTTTATTTTTGTCTTTAACGTTTTGAGCTGAGTTAAGGTCAGGAATTTGTCCTACATTACCTGAACGCATCACTCAGATTTCAGGGTTTTATCTGGGGTTTTGTTTTCCTGTTAGATTTTTTTTAATAAAACATAATTAATTAATTTTAAAAGCTTTGAATGAGCATCACAATCTTTTTCTAAAATCTTTTTATAATATACAAAGTCATCTCTGTTGCTAATACTAAAAT